GAGAGAGATGGAATAAAAGGAGGATTCTGGGAAAGTGTCCAATGCTAGCGCTGCAGAAAAACCCAAAGAGTGGCCGGACAATAGCCAGCCCCCCCCCCCCCCCTCAAAACCTGCTAACACAGTCATGTGACTGAGGGGGCACTGAGGCCAGAGACAACACAGATCCAACCAGAAAATAATCTCAACGTTCATGGTACTTACACGTTTTGTTCTCTCCACATATTAACACCACTTTATGATTTCTGAAGTAAAAAGCTAACGTTGGGCTTTAAAGGAACTACAGCACGGTCACATGACTTCACGTCACCACCGCTAAGCTAAAGGTGGCTAATGTTGGGCTTTAAAGGAACTACAGCACGGTCACATGACTTCACGTCACCACCGCTAAGCTAAAGGTGGCTAATGTTGGGCTTTAAAGGAACTACAGCACGGTCACATGACTTCACGTCACCACCGCTAAGCTAAAGGTGGCTAATGTTGGGCTATAAAGAAACTACAGCACGGTCACATGACTTCACATCACCACCGCTAAGCTAAAGGTGGCTAATGTTGGGCTTTAAAGGAACTACAGCACGGTCACATGACTTCACGTCACCACCGCTAAGCTAAAGGCGGCTAACGTTGGGCTATAAAGGAATTACAGCACGGTCACATGACTTCACTTCACCACCGCTAAGCTAAAGGAGGCTAATGTTGGGCTATAAAGGAACTACAGCACGGTCACATGACTTCACTTCACCACCACTAAGCTAAAGGAGGCTAATGTTGGGCTATAAAGGAACTACAGCACGGTCACATGACTTCACTTCACCACCGCTAAGCTAAAGGTGGCTAATGTTGGGCTATAAAGGAACTACAGCACGGTCACATGACTTCACTTCACCACCACTAAGCTAAAGGAGGCTAATGTTGGGCTATAAAGGAACTACAGCACGGTCACATGACTTCACTTCACCACCACTAAGCTAAAGGTGGCTAACGTTGGGCTATAAAGGAACTACAGCACGGTCACATGACTTCATGTCACCACCACTAAGCTAAAGGAGGCTAATGTTGGGCTATAAAGGAACTACAGCACGGTCACATGACTTCACGTCACCACCGCTAAGCTAAAGGAGGCTAATGTTGGGCTATAAAGGAACTACAGCACGGTCACATGACTTCACGTCACCACCGCTAAGCTAAAGGCGGCTAATGTTGGGCTATAAAGGAACTACAGCACGGTCACATGACTTCACGTCACCACCGCTAAGCTAAAGGTGGCTAATGTTGGGCTATAAAGGAACTACAGCACGGTCACATGACTTCACGTCACCACCGCTAAGCTAAAGGTGGCTAATGTTGGGCTATAAAGGAACTACAGCACGGTCACATGACTTCACGTCACCACCGCTAAGCTAAAGGTGGCTAATGTAACTCTATTTTAAGACAGAGTTTCGTGTTAACCACAGACCCGATTGCGTCCTAACTCATCTACTCCCCAAACCCAAACCCAGCCTCCTCACCTCCAGGTAGAGCGGGGAGCTGTTCCCATGGTTCATCCTCTGGGCGAGCTGGTCCCTCTGCAGGATGCACTCTTCCAGGTGGATGACGTTGGGGTGCTGGCTCTGGATGCTGCTCAGCGCCCAGAACTCACGCAGGGCCAGCTCCACGTTCTCTGGAGAGTGGCAGCGGATCTTCTTCACCGCCACCCGGACCCCCGAGCGCTTCGCCACCGCCTCATAAACCACGCCGTAGCTGCCGCGCCCCACCTCCTGGATCAGCTCGTACTTCGGCTGGCTGTTGACCATCCTAGTCCTCACTGTGGACAGAAAAAACATGGGGCATCGGCATCCAAATTCCTCTTGAAGGCATATTTTTGTTATTGTTGCGTATGTTTTCATGTTCCCGCCCATTTAAAGGTCCCCTATTATTCTGTTTTTCATCTATATATAATAGTTCTCAGATATATACAGAGCCTATCTCTGATTGGCTGAAACACCAAACAGATCATTGCAGCATTACCCATAATCCCCTCTGTTTCAGCCCTGTTTCCAAAGTGCTGATTCTCTGTCTGTTACTTTAGATGAAAATAAGGAGCCCCTCCCCACGCCCCTCTGAGAGACATTTGGTTACAAAGAACTCAATGGTGCTCTAGGAGGAGATTCAGGTGATAAGGGGGGGGGGGGGGGGGGGGGTTACCTTGGTTGCTGATTGGCTAATGGTTACACAAGACAAAACATCGTTATGACATCATAAAGTGGCCAAAATCTGATCAGCTCATTTTCAGACAGGTTTTTATAGAAATGGATCAAAAAGAGAGAGAATCTTTGTTCCTGAAACTTCCAGAGTCTCTTTCCACAGAGGGGACACATGTTGATGAAGAAGAGACATGAAGAAGAGGGGACACATGTTGATGAAGAAGAGACATGAAGAAGAGGGGACACATGTTGATGAAGAAGAGACATGAAGAAGAGGGGGACACATGTTGATGTAGAAGAGACATGAAGAAGAGGGGACACTGTTGATGAAGAGAGACATGAAGAAGAGGGGACACATGTTGATGAAGAAGAGACTATGAGAAGCAAGAGGGGACACATGTTGATGAAGAAGAGACATGAAGAAGGGGGGACACATGTGATGTAGAAGAGACATGAAGAAGAGGGGACCACATGTTGATGAAGATAGGAGGACACATGTGATGAAGAAGAGAATGAGACGAGGGGACACATGTTGATGAAGAAGAGACATGAAGAAGAGGGGACACATGTTGATGAAGAAGAGACATGAAGAAGAGGGGACACATGTTGATGAAGAAGAGACATGAAAGAAGAGAGGGACCACATGTTGATGTAAGAAGAGACATGAAGAAGAGGGGTACCCATGTTGATGAAAGAAGAGACATGAAGAAGAGGGGACACATGTTGATGTAGAAGAGACATGAAGAAGAGGGGACACATGTTTGATGTAGAAGAGACATGAAGAAGAGGGGACACATGTTGATGAAGAAGAGACATGAAGAAGAGGGGACACATGTTGATGAAGAAGAGACATGAAGAAGAGGGGACACATGTTGATGTAGAAGAGACATGAAGAAGAGGGGACACATGTTGATGTAGAAGAGACATGAAGAAGAGGGGACACATGTTGATGTAGAAGAGACATGAAGAAGAGGGGACACATGTTGATGTAGAAGAGACATGAAGAAGGGGGACACATGTTGATGTAGAAGAGACATGAAGAAGAGGGGACACATGTTGATGTAGAAGAGACATGAAGAAGAGGGGACACATGTTGATGTAGAAGAGACATGAAGAAGAGGGGACACATGTTGATGAAGAAGACATGAAGAAGAGGGGACACATGTTGATGTAGAAGAGACATGAAGAAGAGGGGACACATGTTGATGTAGAAGAGACATGAAGAAGAGGGGACACATGTTGATGTAGAAGAGACATGAAGAAGAGGGGACACATGTTGATGTAGAAGAGACATGAAGAAGAGGGGACACATGTTGATGAAGAAGAGACATGAAACAGTGCATTTTGCATAATAGGTGACCTTTAAAATGATAAATCCAAATTCTTCTGTGTTTCTCTCGCAGATGTAATGGTTTGTAAACAAAGACATTGGGATGAAAGTGATTTATGTCAAATCATTTCTTGTTACATTTTCTGTATATGGTTTGCTAGACTCATTTCCCAGGGGACACTTACTGGTATGACATGAATTACTCCCTTATGGATGCGTTAAAAATGTAATGTAATCAAAGTAAAACATTTAGAAGAGTAAGCAAAAAATGAAGTTTCGCTTTTTACAAAACACAGGTTGAAACTGCCAAAGAGTTCAAGCTCTCTCCAACACCTGTCTGTACCTGCTATTCACTGAACACATCATTAAAGTCCATTTTTTATGTGATAAACTTGACACGTGTAATTAGTTAAAGCTTTGTTGTTTATTGATATCAGACAATGATACTACAGATTATTAAATTATTAATTAAATGTTTCGTTTTGTTATTGCATTCATTTGTATTTTCTTTGGTTTTACACGCTCGAAAAAATAAAATAAATAAACTAAACTAAACACTGACTTGATGTACAAAAAAAATCACGAGTATAAAAAAAAGAGAAAAATAATTTTAGCTAGCATGCTAACGAGCTAATTAGACATGCACCTTGCTAATTGGCTAACAGGCCTGTCTGCTAACGTCCTGTTGTTAGTTAGCCTCACGTTAGCAGCTAACAAAGAGTCCATCTCCCAAGAGCAACACCAGACAAAGACACAGCCACACAATCAAACACCAAAACAAGCCCATTATTACATTAAAATGTACAAACATGAAGCAGGCGTGCAGGATTCTGACAGTTTATTGTCCAATGTGTGTGTGTGTGTGTGTGTGTGTGTGTGTGTGTGTGTGTGTGTGTGTGTGTGTGTGTGTGTTCTTGAAAACACAACTGCAACTGGAGCACACACACACACACACACATGGGACAACAGTGTGAATTTAGAGGAGAAAGCAGCTGATAGTTGTCATTTGTTAGGGTCTCTTACCTTTGCCTCTGGTCTCAGGTTCATTTGTTGTGCTCTTCTCTCTCCCTGGCAGCCATTACCGCTGCACACGTTCCGCTGCTGAGAAATGCAGCGGTTGAGAGCCTCGAGGAGACTTCCGGTTACACATTTCAAAATAAAGGTTGGGGAAGAAAGAAGAACAAAACATTCTGAGGTGCAGAATTTAAAGACATATTGACATACAGTATTGATATTTGTATATATTGCCAAATCTATGTTACTAATGTCATATTCCAATAATACTAATAATACTTGCACTATTTTATTTATACTCTGTTCCTTATTCCATTATTTGTATTGTTCGTTTTTATTTGTTTTATTGTTTTAAGTATTTTTTATATTTATGTTGCATTGTTGGAGGAGCTTGGACTTAAAGTAGCTACTGTGCATATGACAATAAAACCTTTCAATCTTGATCTTGGTTGGGAAATAAATCAGAATCAGAATTCCTTTATTCGCCCGCATAGGGGAAATTAAACACTCTTAGATAAAGGGCATGCACATAATATTTCAAATAGAAACTATAAAAAGTTATTCTGTTGGAAAAATATCACTCGTCCCCGGCTTGAGCTTCAATCTCAGGATCCATGTATCTCTGACCCTCTCCAGAATGGAAGTAGTCATCACATACAGAGCATCAACTAGTTCCTGAACAGTGTCCTTCACATGCTGATATCCAAGAGAGGGAGTTACACAGTCACAAGATGGAGGAATAGAAAGCAGTATTCAATGTTTACTTCCGATTAGCTCCACGTCAGAAATGAGCATGCTTGTCATATGTCTATCTCCATAGAGGCTGAATCATCATGTTAATCACATAGCTATCATATGCCTCAAACAGTCCTGATGCTCTTCTAGGTAATCATACATCCTGTCATGTTCACAGCTACAGTTGGGGTACCTTTGTTATCATGTGCACCTCTGTCCTTGAAGGAGTACATTCAGTATTGTCCGATGCTTCAGCATTTTTTTACAAGTCATTTTTCAGTTGTAATTAGGTTTGAAATATGAGAGTTTTAGACCATACGTTGATAACAGTCCTCTTTCTACTGAATGATATTCTATAAACTCAAAATATTATTCTATGCATGCTAGTTATTCAAACAGACACATATCTTAATGTTTACACTTTCATTGATTTATTTTCCCCAAAGGTGAAGGTTATTGGCCTTTTATTTTGAAGGGAAAGTAACAACACTTCCGGTTAAGTCTAATTATGGCTAGCTTTACGACGTTTTCAACAAAAAGGCAGTCAGCACAATGCGGACGCCCACTGTCACTTACAGGGGTGGACAGAAAAATAAGAACACCTGCACATATCTAATCATCTAAACATGCCATTGTTGAATACAAATAAAGTAGACATTTCTGTTGAGATAGTATACACTACAGTATCCAAACAATTTATTGAAAGATAGCAATCACAGTAGGCCTATCATAAAAAACCAATATAATATTATTTATCTGATTATCTGTGTGTCCCTTTTTCTGAAAACGACACAAAGACGTAATTGAATGCAGCAATTTGGCCTGAAACGCCTCCATTGGACTCCTTTGTTTACTCCGGGAACACAGTGACATCATTATGTAAAACTTGCGCTCCTATTGGCTAGTGCTCCAACACATTGTTTGTGATAGGCTAAGGATCGGGACATCTCTAAGCGGTTGACTAATCACAACAGAGCCGGCCAGCTAACCAATCAGAGCAGACTGGGCTCTGGTTTCAGACAGAGGGTGAAAAGAGGTGCTGCAGCACAGACAGTATGAGAACAATAAAGAGCTTTTTGAACATTAAAGCATGGAGACATGTAGAGACACTACATACTGATATACACCTGAACATCAGCAGGAGAGGACTCTTTAAAGTAGAGACACTACATACTGATATACACCTGAATATCAGCAGGAGAGGACTCTTTAAAGTAGAGACACTACATACTGATATACACCTGAACATCAGCAGGAGAGGACTCTTTAAAGTAGAGACACTACATACTGATATACACCTGAACATCAGCAGAGAGAGGACTCTTTAAAGTAGAGACACTACATACTGATATACACCTGAACATCAGCAGGAGAGGACTCTTTAAAGTAGAGACACTACATACTGATATACCCTGAACATCAGCAGGAGAGGACTCTTTAAAGTAGAGACACTACATACTGATATAACCTGAACATCAGCAGGAGAGGACTCTTTAAAGTAGAGACACTACATACTGATATACACCTGAACATCAGCAGGAGAGAACTCTTTAAAGTAGAGACACTACATACTGATATACACCTGAACATCAGCAGGAGAGAACTCTTTAAAGTAGAGGACACTACATACTGATATACACCTGAACATCAGCAGGAGAGGACTCTTTAAAGTAGAGACACTACATACTGATATACACCTGAACATCAGCAGGAGAGGACTCTTTAAAGTAGAGACACTACATACTGATATACACCTGAACATCAGCAGGAGAGGACTCTTTAAAGTAGAGACACTACATACTGATATACACCTGAACATCAGCAGGAGAGGACTCTTTAAGTAGAGACACTACATACTGATATACACCTGAACATCAGCAGGAGAGGACTCTTTAAAGTAGAGACACTACATACTGATATACACCTGAACATCAGCAGGAGAGGACTCTTTAAAGTAGAGACACTACATACTGATATACACCTGAACATCAGCAGGAGAGGACTCTTTAAAGTAGAGACACTACATACTGATATACACCTGAACATCAGCAGGAGAGGACTCTTTAAAGTAGAGACACTACATACTGATATACACCTGAACATCAGCAGGAGAGGACTCTTTAAAGTAGAGACACTACATACTGATATACACCTGAACATCAGCAGGAGAGGACTCTTTAAAGTAGAGACACTACATACTGATATACACCTGAACATCAGCAGGAGAGGACTCTTTAAAGTAGAGACACTACATACTGATATACACCTGAACATCAGCAGGAGAGGACTCTTTTAAAGTAGAGACACTACATACTGTTATACACCTGAAACATCAGCAGGAGGAGAACTCTTTAAAGTAGAGACACTACATACTGATATACACCTGAACATCAGCAGGAGAGGACTCTTTAAAGTAGAGACACTACCATACTGATATACACCTGAACCATCAGCAGGAGAGGACTCTTTAAAGTAGAGACACTACATACTGATTATACACCTGAACATCAGCAGGAGAGGACTTCTTTTAAAGTAGAGACACTACATACTGATATACACCATGAACATCAGCAGGAGAGGACTCTTTAAAGTAGAGACACTACATACTGATATACACCTGAACATCAGCAGGAGAGGACTCTTTAAAGTAGAGACACTACATACTGTTATACACCTGAACATCAGCAGGAGAGGACTCTTTAAAGTAGAGACACTACATACTGATATACACCTGAACATCAGCAGGAGAGACTCTTTAAAGTAGAGACACTACATACTGATATACACCTGAACATCAGCAGGAGAGGACTCTTTAAAGTAGAGACACTACAATACTGATATACACCTGAACATCAGCAGGAGAGGACTCTTTAAAGTAGGACACTACATACTGATAACACCTGAACATCAGCAGGAGAGAACTCTTTAAAGTAGAGACACTACATACTGATTATACACCTGAACATCAGCAGGAGAGAACTCTTTAAAGTAGAGACACTACATACTGATATACACCTGAACATCAGCAGGAGAGGACTCTTTAAAGTAGAGACACTACATACTGATATACACCTGAACATCAGCAGGAGAGGACTCTTTAAAGTAGAGACACTACATACTGATATACACCTGAACATCAGCAAGGAGAGGACTCTTTAAAGTAGAGACACTACATACTGATATACACCTGAACATCAGCAGGAGAGGACTCTTTAAAGTAGAGACACTACATACTGATATACACCTGAACATCAGCAGGAGAGGACTCTTTAAAGTAGAGACACTACATACTGATATACACCTGAACATCAGCAGGAGAGGACTCTTTAAAGTAGAGACACTACATACTGATATACACGATGAACATCAGCAGGAGAGGACTCTTTAAAGTAGAGACAACTACATACTGATATACACCTGAACATCAGCAGGAGAGGACTCTTTAAAAGTGAGGACACTACATATGATACACATGAACATCAAGCAGGAGAGGACTCTTTAAAGTAGAGACACTACATACTGTTATACACCTGAAACATCAGCAGGAGAGGACTCTTTAAAGTAAGAGACACTACATACTGATATACACCTGAACATCAGCAGGAGAGGAACTCTTTAAAGTTAGACATTACATAACTGATATACACCTGAACATCAGCAGGAGAGGAACTCTTTAAAGTAGAGACACTACATACTGTTATACACCTGAACATCAGCAGGAGAGAATCTTTAAAGTAGAGACACTACATACTGATATACACCTGAACATCAGCAGGAGAGAACTCTTTTAAAGTAGAGACACTACATACTGATATACACCTGAACATCAGCAGGAGAGGACTCTTTAAAGTAGAGACACTACATACTGATATACACCTGAACATCAGCAGGAGAGGACTCTTTAAAGTAGAGACACTACATACTGATATACACCTGAACATCAGCAGGAGAGGACTCTTTAAAGTAGAGACACTACATACTGATATACACCTGAACATCAGCAGGAGAGGACTCTTTAAAGTAGAGACACTACATACTGATATACACCTGAACATCAGCAGGAGAGGACTCTTTAAAGTAGAGACACTACATACTGATATACACCTGAACATCAGCAGGAGAGAACTCTTTAAAGTAAAGACACTACATACTGATATACACCTGAACATCAGAGGAGAGAACTCTTTAAAGTAGAGACACTACATACTGATATACACCTGAACATCAGCAGGAGAGCGACTCTTAAAGTAGAGACACTACATACTGATATACACCTGAACATCAGCAGGAGAGACTCTTTAAAGTAGAGACACTACATACTGATATACACCTGAACATCAGCAGGAGAGGACTCTTTAA